AGACGGTAGGACTTTGCTGTTACGCTGGATCCCGTCGCATCGAGCGTACTAGTTAGTTTTCCGTATTCGTATTTTCATTTTTGAATGTACACGGTGCTGTGCATTTTCTTGCCTCGACCCCGAAACGTCGATGATAGTAGCAGTAAGGGGATCTTGATGTTGAGCTTATTCGACTTCTACTTGCAGAGCGGTTGCGACGAAAGGTGATCTTCGGTGTTGCTGATTGCGCTGGTTGTACTGTTGCTGGTAAAAGGTATGATGCTGGGAAGCTTTGAGCGCGGCGACTTCGAATGATAGCTTCCGAATTTCTTCGAGAAGAAACTGGGTATCATTGGCCTTTGTTGAAGTGCCTTCGATGATCGATATGTGTGAGCTACTGCTGTTTTCGATCATCTTGTCCGCCAGGAGTGCCAGTTCGTCGAGCTTCGTCTGCGTGCTGAATGTTTCGCTGACTGCTATTACCGATCGAATATGTGGTGGTAGGTGGTTTACCCACATTAGCCGTAGTGTTGAATCCGGAACTTTATCTCGCGCCAAAGTACGCATTTTGCGTAGGAGTTGTGTGGGTTTCTGGTCTCCAAGTTCTATTTCTGATAGAAGTTTTTGTAGCTGTCGACTGTCGGATTCTTCGTATGCGGAGATCAGACGATCCTTCAGTGAATTATACTGGTCGACTGCTGGTGGGTTGTACAACAGGTCCGCAATTTGTTCGATGTCTTGTTTCTCAAGTTGGGCTATCACCATCTGTGCTAATTGCGCTTGGCTCTTCTTTAAACCATTCGTTGCGGCTTCAAAACTGACGAACCAAAGTCGTGGTTTGTCTCTCCAAAACGGTGGTATTCTTAACGATAGAGATATACCGGCGATTTCTGGTTCCTTTACCGGGTTTGATGTATATGTGTTTGCCTCCTGCTCCATAATGACGGCTTGATTACACTGATTTTATATAAACTGAAGTCTTCCTTCTCGGTGTTCGTACGGGTTTCCTTCGCGGTGTTCGTGCAATAGTAGTGGTACGTCGCAGGGTGTTCCTTCTTGGTGTTCGTACCGGATCTTCCCCCTCGGTGTTCGTACGGGGTCACCTCTGTAATAGTGGAGACGAACTGTCCACTATTAACAGACTCCGAGTGGTTTTCTTTAAGGTGGAAAAATGAAACTACTGTTTATGTTTATGAATGTACTGTCGAATGGGATTCAGAATGGAATAATCTTTTGCATCAACCTTGCCTATATTTATATGGCTGGCTCACTATTGATTTGCCAATGGTAACAATTAATATTTTGCCTAGCCAATTATATTGCTTATTTTATGACCAATGAAAACTATTTAAAATATACAATTATCTACGTTTCGTTTCCCGGCGTGAGACTTGTTTGTTGTTCACGAAGCTACGTCGCTGGACCGGGCTATATAAGACATGCAGATCGGTGCGCACGCGTAGTCGGCGGGCGGCGGCGGTGTGGAATACAGCTCCGGAACAGCAAGAGGAAACGAACTGCGGCGTTGAAGAAACGGCTCACCATTGGTCGACGGATACGTGACGATAGCGGCGTGTGAAGTCGGTGTGGCGCTGAATGATATTTGCGGCTGCTTCTTGTTTTTTTATAAGAACGTCAAATTATCTATATACAGTCCGCAGTATCTCAGTAGCCAAGAATAATTAGGAAATAAAATGTTTTTTTTATTTATTCTCGCCTTCCGCGTTATGGTAGCAGCGGAGTATATATTATTTATTCCCGTTTAGGTTTGATTAATCTGGCTGCTACACATGTCTTACCAGGTCGTCACTCCATCTAGTGGGGGTCGCCCTACACTACGCCTACCGGTACGAGGCTGCCACTCGAGAACCTTTCTTCCCCATCGGTTATCGGTTCTTCGAGCTATAGTGCTCCCAACAACTACCGGCATAGGTGTGACATGGACATTAAACATGATCTTTGTTTTGTCCATGTTCATCTTAAGACCTATCCGTTGGGAGACACCATTGAGGTCATTGAGCATAGTGCTAAGGTCCTCCAGCGATTCTGCCATAAGGACTATATCGTCGGCAAATCGAAGGTGAGTGATGTACTCGCCATTGATGTTAATACCGTATCCTTTCCAGTCCAGTAGCTTGAAAACGTCTTCCAACGCAGCGGTGAAGAGTTTCGGGGATATAACATCACCCTGTCTTACACCTCTCTGCAGTTGGATAGGTTTCGTACTCTGGTTCTGTACTCGGATAGCCATCGTAGCCCTACTGTACAAACACTTCAGCACTCCAATAACCGATAGTCAACTAGGCACCGCTGAAGAGACTGTAGCACCGCCCAAATTTCGACGGAATCAAAGGCTTTCTCATAGTCCACATACGCCAGGCAAAGTGGCAGATTGTACTTGTATGTATGTGGTCTATGGTACTGAAGCCTTTTCGGAAACCGGCTTGTTCGGCAGGCTGGAAGTCGTCGAGTCTGCGTGCGAGACGATTCGTAATGACTCTCGTAAACAGCACGTAGACGCGGCTCAGAAGGGAAATCGGTCTGTAGTTCTTCAAGAGGGCGTTGTCGCCTTTCTTAAAGAACAAGACCACCACGCTTCTGCTCCACGCCTCCGGAGTAGTGCCACCATGGAGGACGGAATTGAAGAGCTTCTGAAGGACTTCAAGTACCGGTGTTCCACCCGCTTTCAGAAGCTCCGCTGTAATTCCATCCTCGCCCGGGGCCTTGCCGCTTTTAAGGTAGTGGAGAGCCATTCTAATCTCGCTCAGACTGACGTCCGGGATATCATCGGAATAGTGTCGGATAAGACTTGCTCTTGGATCGTTACTCACACTTGCGTGTGGCTCCAACGATGATGTGTACAGCTGCCCATAGAACCTCTCAATCTCACTCAGAATCTCAGGTGTCCCGGAAACGATGTTGCCACACTCAGTCTTCAGCCTTGACAGTTGGCTCTTTCTGGCAGACAGATCTCTGGCAAAGACTTTGGAGCCCTGGTTCCGCTCGATCGCTTCTTTAATACGAGCAGTATTAAAGTTGCGTAAGTCTCGCCGCATGCATTTGGAGATCTGTCTGTTCAGTAGCTTTTCTTTCTTGATTATATTATATACTGGTAGCTGGTCCCGAACGATTTGTATGAAAACCAGTCTAATGGGGTATCAACAAAGCTATACTCGGAAGAGAGCCGCGCCCTCTGTGCGATTATGCTACTTAATTACATCAATTTGTACCATCACTCTCTCACGGTTTGCCCAATATCTTTATTTGTATAAGACATACATTTATACATTTTATTTATAAAGATCGCACAAAAAAATATCTATACTATGATATACATTACATTTTTATATCACAAAAAACCTTTTATTTATTCAACAAAATATGCCTATTTTACAACGTATGTACTAAGTTAGAATTCTTAAATGTCTAACATATAAGGTTGAAACATTGTTCTTCATTTGAAATTATAAATATCTTAACTAATACAATAGTTTAATTTACATTTTTCCTATACATTTTACTATTTAAAACACTTTTAAATTTCTTACACAAAACTATCAATATTTCACCAATCCAAAGGAATTTTCATATGAAAATAACACAGAATTCACCTATTTTGCTCATACAGTCAATTTGAAATATTTTACAAGTCAATTTTACATGAATTGCTGAAATTTGCACAAGGTTAACGCGCGGCTATGAACTCGCGCTATTTGAACAACTAATTCTTACACGACTCTCAAGTGTCGGTAAAAGGTGGCAAATATAGCACATACTGCTATCAACCAATACTAGGTGAACAACTGATTCTACACGACTCTCAAATGTCGGAAATTATTTCTAACTAGATTCTTATCAGCTATCATGTTTCTTATCAGATAATATAAACAAAATATTTTATGAATCAAACATTGAAAATATACATTTTATTTTCATACAAAACGTATCAAACTTATATAAGATAATACTTATGCAATTAATTTCCATTAATTCTATTTATACACAAAGTGATCATTTCGACCGGGGAACAAATCCTGGTCTCTAACTTTATTTTAATATTCCTTTAAATTAACAATATTATTGGAAAGATGATTTCAACCGGGGAACTGAACCCGGAAACATAATTTATATCTTAAAAATTCCCTATATGAATTTATTAAGAAAATATTACTAAGAAAACGACAAACTAGTCCTGCCTGGGAATCGAACCCAAGACCTTCAAATTATTAATTCGATATTTCTTTAAGATTCAACTAAGTGTTTCCTTATTAGAATATTATTGCTCGATAATTTGTTTTTAGAAGCTCTTCGTAATCGGTTAACTAATAAATTGAAATATTCTTATAGACGCGTCGCCAACACTAGGCGAGCGTCGAAGAGCAATGGCGTGGCTAGACAAATTTTGGTTGGTTAAGCCAACATGTATAATCAGTCGGTTTTATAATCGGTCATCCAAGCCGTCTAGTCGGGGAAATCGTGCGGTGCGGTGCGGAGCGCTCCCGAGCGGCCGTTAATCGCTCGGGAGCTGTCCGCTTGTCCTGTCACACAAATAAATTAAAATGGTTCACACCACATGTGTGGTAAAAACTATGGGTCGTCCTCATTTAAAGATACGTAATCATTTAAAGATAATCATTTAAAGGTATGTTAAGTTGCATCACTTGCCATATACACAAGAATTTGTTTAAACGTAAAATAAAACCAGTTTTTCCTTTTTTTATTACTTCCCGTTCTGACAATCCTAGAAATTTACTGTTTATGTCGGCTTTTTCGACAACATCAAACGCGATGACTGACTGTATGTACTTCTAAGCTGTGCCATTACTTATACTGTGCTGGAGTCGAACCCACTGCCCACAACGTCAAAGAATAGTTATTCATTCATCAGAATGCCTTTATTCAAAATAAATTACAGGAAATTACTTAACTGTCCTGGGAAGGACCAGTAAGAAACCCAACCGAACATATAACATGTTGTACAATTAATGGTACGTCAATCCAAGTCTAGTAAAACAAGTCCATTAGGTCACATACCTGCATGGGTAGGGATAAGCATCCGGGTTGTTCCGAGCGGAATACGGTGAATATTTCTCCAGCAGCCATATCATGACCCCGGTCAGCACCAGAGCAGCGACTATACTCAGCCACACTTCAGTGCGGAGCACGGTCATGAACTTGAACAGGGAGGTCTTGCGGATGGGCTTCCGTATCACTAGGGAAATTATATAAATTGGAACCAATTAATATGTTTTCATGACATTAACATGAATGGGTCGACTCGAAAGACCACACTCTCACAGAATAACAGTGTAACATTTATTTATTTATTTATTTACTTATTTATTTATTTATTTATTTATTATTTATGTATTATTTATTTATTTATTTATTTATTTATTTATTATTTATGTATTATTTATTTATTTATTTATTTATTTATTTATTATTTATTTATTTTCTTATTTATTAATTATTTATTTATTTATTTATTTATTTATTTATTTATTTATTTATTTATTTATTTATTTATTTATTTATTACAAAAAGAGTAACAACATCATAACAGTACAAAACCAAGACGATGCTGTACAAAAACCAAACAATAACTGATAAATATAACTACTGACATAAAATATATACTTATACAATTATAATTAAGAAAAAAAAAAAGAAAGAAAAAAAAATTATAATAAAATCTCACAGACCCTGTGTGCCGCTTATGTGAACTTTACCAGGCTGCAGTGGTAAATGTCCGTTTCTTCGGAAATAATATTCAATAACTTTAAAGCCCGCGACATAGGTGCAAACCTGAGCAGATTTGTCCTCGCATACGGCACCTTAAAGGTGGGATGTGGGCGACGCCCTGACCACCGCCTTATCAGGCACAAACAGCTGCAACACCTCCAGTACCTCAGGATGGTGTAGCTGGCCACGCAAGACTCGCCACACGTACTTGCAGAGTGCGACGTCCCGCCTCACACCAAGCTGGCTGTACCCGACCATGCCGATCACGAACATGCTCGGGTACATCAGCGGGCAGAAAGGATAAACGCCGTACTCCTTTAAATAAAGGAATCGCGTGAATTTATTTTGAATTTTTTCCACCATGTTGAAATATTTATCTTCATGGGGATTCCAAATAATTGCACTCGTTTCCAGCTGGCTGCGAACAAGTGCATTGTATAAAACTTTAATAATCGCCGTACTAAGAAAATCCCTACAATTCCTTATGATAAAACCTAAGTTTCGGAATGCCTTACCGCAGATATCTTCAATGTGATTACGAAACGTTAACTCCGCTACCATCTGCACACCTAAGTCAGGTACGAAAGTAACGCGCGGCATTGCATTACCGTTCCGTCAACCTCGTACCGATATTGCAGCGGCGCCTGTCTGCGTCCGTAACTTATCACCTCACACTTCGTTGTGTTAAAATATAACTTATTAATAGCACTCCACTGCACGACCCTATCTATATCTCGCTGAAGCTGCTCACAATCCGAAACATCTGCTACCGACAAAAACGGTTTTAAGTCGTCTGCAAATAGGAGACATTTCGAAACCTTAATGACCTCTGGGAGATCATTTATCAATAATATGAACTCCAAAGGGCCCAAATTACTCCCCTGGCTCACACCCGAAAACGTGAAGTAAGGTTCGGATTCATACCCCGCGAACTCGACGTACTGCCGGCGTTCACCAAGGTAACTCGCGAAAAATTTTAAAAGATGCGGTGTGAAACCCACCGCCGCAAATTTTTCTAAAAGGATATCGTTATCAACGGTATCAAATGCTTTCCGAAAGTCGAAGTAAGCGGCATCCACCTGCCCCCCAGCGTCGATAGCTGGCGTCAGGTATGTCATAAATGACAGCAAGTTACTCGCTGTACTTCGGCCCGGCCGAAACCCATGCTGAACATCAGTCAGCTGCGAACTGACCTGCGTATAAATACATTTTTGTAATGCGGATTCAAATACCTTGGCGAACGCAATCAGCACCGCCACAGGTCGGTATCCGCTTACATCTGAAGTCGAACCTCCTTTAGACACCGGTATTACTCTTGTCAATTTCCATTATTCGGGATAGTAGCCTTCTCGGAGACACAGGTTAAAAACGTGAAGCAGAGGCTTTTCAAAAACAGAGCGACAGTCTTTGACTAAGTACTGTCGTGACTTTGTAAGGTGGTATACCGTCAGGGCCTACAGAGCGCTTAGGCTTGAGGTGTGCGAGAGCGGTGCGGATGTCGCGCACGCTCAGCTGGCCGACGTGCACACGAGCTGCGCCAGCACGCGCGCTCGCCGCGTGCTCCGCCGCTTTCGGATCCAGCGCCGGCCGCGTCTCGCTATATACAGTTTGAAAATAAGACGCGAAACATTGCGCACTCGACTGATCACTTAACTCTAGACCATTTTTTGTTACTCGAGTTTTGTTACGTCTAGACTGCTTACATCTTACGTAATTCTAAAAAGATTTCGGATCGTCCTTAAAATTCAGCTGTAATTTCTCCTGGTAGGCTTCATAATTGACTTTTAACTTATATTTTATCTGAGATCGATACCGAGCAAACGCTTCGTAATCACATTGCGCACTCGTCATTTTATACAGTTTATGATACCTCCACTTTCGCTTTATATCGCGTATTAAATCGGATGAGTACCATTCCGGGTAAACATACCTGGTATGATTCCTATTAAGTTTGGCCCTACGGGCTCTAGGAATACAACGGTCTATTACCTCATTTACAACCGTATATAGGTATGATATGGCTACCTCCGGGGTGTCAATTTGATACAAATTACCCCAATCAATTTGTTGAAAGCTATCGTACAATATATGAAAGTTGGCTTTATAGAAATTCCATCTCCGTTTAATACAAGATTTATCAATCCCTGGCAGTGCCCATCGTCACGCTGACATACACCGGAGGATGTTGTACGTCAATATCTACTAACGGGTCATTACACAACTTTATCTCCACTTCACGTGCTAAAAACGTTGTAAATACTAAATCTAAAGTACGGTCGTTAATATTACGGACATTATTTACCTGGCGAAATCCACAGACGGCGTTAAAATATTCCATATAACTGTGCATTTCCACAGGTGCTGAAGGCATATTAAAGTCACCAAGCATTATAGTGCTTGGTGACTTTAATATGCCTTTAATATGGTGTGGAAACAGCCTTTTTTGCCCGCTGCATAGCTCGGCGCGCGCGCTGCGTTATTTTTTTCTCTGTTATAGCGACCGTATCTGAGGATATCGGTGTCTCGCTTGCACTTGGGACTGTCAGTACCTTATTCTGTACGTCGGTCTCGCTGGTCGACTGCCCAGCCCGCAATAGGTCGATTGTTCTAGCGGGCATTTCTTCGATTACCCTTTTCAGGTCACTTATCGTCGAAAACAATTTCTCAATAATGCGCTGCTGATTTTCTATCTTCTTATTCTGCGCTTCAATTAGGGTCACTTGCGTTGTGATTTTTGTTGTCAACGCTTCTACATTCTTTGACAAATTGGCGAAAGCAGACTCCACTTTAAAACTTGTCATTTTTACCGAAATACGGAATAAAAACACGGCGACTAAAGTTCTCGTGTCAAGCTCACAAGAATATATAATAGCAGCTTAAAAAAATAGCAAGAATAAAATAGCAGCTTAATGCTGCTGCGATTCGTATGTTGAGTGTGTAGAACCGGAGACCCATTTTACTGGAAACGACATTACAACTCCGTCCTCAGGGGTGACAACGCATCAGCATATTGATTCGTAATCGAGGATAGATGTAGATGTCTATGGGCGACAGCATCCGCTTACCATCAAGTGGACTGTGTGCTCGTGCGTCACCGTATTCTTTGAAAAATTGTATTTAGCAGGCGGATTTTCGATCGAAGTGCTAGAATTCTCGCAGCTTTGACATTGCTGTCGTCGCCACTATAAGTATTTTACATCTGGTCTAAGCTTAATTCTTTGACTGGCTGACTGTCTAGGCAGAAATAGGCATGGCTTTAACTAATTGAAAAAAAATGTTAGAGTATCTTAAACCAGACGTATGAAGGGAACTAGTAGGTGGTTGGATCCCTTTGCTGCCTGGGAAACCATCTGGGCATGTACCACTCTATCCTATTTCTGTAACCAGACAGCACAGCATGGCCGAATGACAGTACCAGCTAGTACAGAGACAGTCATAGACTTATTACACTATTGCGTATGGACCGGGTCATTGAACCAACAAAATGGCACCGACTCATTTAAAAAAAAAGAATATTAACAATGCTATAAATATTACTAATTTTGTTATAACATTTGTGCTAAAAAAGTTTATGGAGCACCAACGTGAGCTAATATGCATGCCGTGCGTCCGTACAGTATTTCCACTTTTAGATATTTTGCACAATTTTAGGGTAAATCTACTAATATGGGTGGGGCTTTAGCTAGCTGTTTTCTATACCCATCTAATGTAATTTTTTTAAAGATTTATCAAAGGGGATATAGTCAAAAAAGCTGGAAAAGTGTAGAATGAAAAAGTTTTTCATTCTGTATATCGGAATAATGGTATAATTATATTTTACTTAGTTACATATTCATTATTCCAATGAGACTAAGTGTTATTATAATTTGAAAATGAAAACGTCTTCTTCATCACAAAACTCAAGAGTTTTAATCGTGAAATGATATTCAAAACTGGCAACGATGTTGTTCTTTAAAATATACAAAATAAGGCTATTTAGATTTTTTAAGACAATTTAGGGAGTATTTCTACAGTTACTGGCGTAAAACCAAAATCATAAGTGGAAACACTGGTTCTGTGGTAGTTCATGAGTATTTAAGAGATGGCGCTGATTTATTCTTATGCTGATTTATGCTTTTAAGCATAGAATATCTACGGTTTACCGTGAAAATTTTTGTTCGCACGACCATATTTTGTCATTTATATCGATGGAGTCAGTATAATTGGGGGCTTTGAAGCATTCAATCTAAGTCCTAAGAGGTGACAACGCATCTGCATTTCGGATCTTAATCGAGGGTAGATGTAGTTGTCTACAGGCTGCAGCATGCACGTATCATCTGGTGGACTGTGTGACAGATGTCTAGCTTTATACCCTAATTCTGTAAAGAATGTACAGTCCTCTTACATTATCACTTTTTATAAGTAAACATGACAATGTCCTCTAAACTGAAGAACGTTAAAAATAAACATGGGAAAATTAATTAGCTAAGTCGATAGTGTGATTCATCTACCTCCTTTCGTCCTACAAGTACGTACACTTACCACTGTCACCTACAAAGGTATCACCACTGCGCTAGTGATAATATATCATATAGATACGAGGGTGGATTGAAAAGTACTCGGCCTAACCAAGAAAATAAACACGTACCAAATCAGTTATATTTTTATTTTTCTACATAATCACCATCAAGTTCAATACACTTTTGCCACCTCCCCTTCCAAGCATTTAGACCGTTGAAAAAAAATGATTCTTCCTTAGAGTCAAAATATGCGTCTACAGCTGCTTTGACCTCGTCGTTTGTCGAAAATCTTTGACCTCCCAAGTGCTTTTTTAGGTTAGGGAACAGAAAGAAGTCTGATGGTGCCAGATCAGGTGAATACGGCGGATGCGGTAACAGTTCAAAGCCACAGTTGTGAATTTCAGCCATTGACTGTACTGACGTGTGAACACGGTCGTTATCTTGATGAAACAGGACTTTTCTTCTGAGCATTCCTCGACGTTTTTCTTTTATTTCCTCTCGTAAACGACGTAGTAAGGTGCAGTAGTAATCAGAGTTAATAGTCTAACCCCTTTCAAGATAATCAATCATAATCACACCTTTCGAGTCCCAGAATACTGAAGCCATCACCTTATTTGCCGACAAAATCGACTTAGCCTTTTTAGGGGGTGGTGAACCAGGTCTTCTCCACTGTTTTGATTGTTGTTTTGTTTCCGGTGTACAGTAATGAACCCATGTTTCGTCCATAGTAACAAAACGATTCAAAAAATCATCTGCATCGGCTTCAAATAACTCCAAACAGTCGCGTGAAATAGTCAATCGCGTCCTTTTTTGTTCAACTGAAAGCAGTCGCGGAACCCACCTCGCAGACACCTTGTGGAAACCCAACTCGTTGACAGTGATGTTTTGAGTTCGTTCATCAGAGATGCCTATAATCTCAGCTATCTCTCTAATTTTAATCTGCGGTCTCCCATTATTAAATCAAGTACTTTTTTTAATATTTTCGTCAGTAGTTGACGTCGAAGGCCTTCCAGAGCGGGGTTCATCTTTCACACTCTCTCTACCACGCTTAAATTCTGCTATCCATTTTTTGACGGATGAATATGACAGAGCACAATCGCCTAATGTACTGACCATGTCATCATGGATGGCTTTTGATGATAGCCCCTTCTTATGGAGGTACTTAATGACGGCACGCTGCTCGAATTGCTCCATTCGCGGAAATTGTGTCCGATTACTTTGTTAATAAATTTATAAAATCACAACTAATTATCGCACACGTTTCGAACTTCACACAATGAACTAGTCTGAACTGAAATAAATAATGTGGGTAGATTTGATTTTTAGAATTGAATGGATCTGTGTTAGGCCGAGTACTTTTCAATCCACCTAGGTAACACGACTCGAATTTCGCCTCTGAACGAGGCACTTTGTAGGTTTTACTTTTCGCGCGAATAAATTTTCGCACCTTTAAATATCATAATATATTTTCGTAAAATAAAACTTGATTATTATGTTCACATTAGAAACAGCTGCAAAAGATATTCTGAACTTAGAACAGAAACAGTATTATAAAAAATACTTACCAATTAAAATGCCAGTCTGTTCGAAGTAGGGTGCAACAAAGTCTATCACTTCTTCCCTTTCAGCTGTCATAGTGAGAGCGGCGACAGCTATATCGGTCTCCTGAAAATCGAATCTTAACCTTAACCAATTAAAACCTTCCTTCCTCAAGTGATTTCTTCATGGGACAATGTATAACAATAATAACGTCCTCCAGATCGAATTTTCGGCACGGCGGCCAGCCTTAACGGAGACTAGCCATCAGCGCAGAGCAGGATTGTAGTACCCAAGTGTATGCGCAAGCACGAGTGCACTCTCTACACTCTCTCTACTTTCTACACTCTCATAATCCGATGTGACGGTTTTCGGCCCAACCCGGGAGTCAAACCCGGGACCTCATGATCAACAGTCGCACTACTACAACCGCTAGACCAACGAGGCAGTCAAAGGGGCAAGGTATAGTTATTATACTACTAAAGATTCATCATCATCATCATCATTACAGCCCTTCACAAGTCCACTGCTGAACATAGGCCTCCCCCAAGTAATGCCACAAAGCACGGTCCTGAGCCACCTGCATCCATCGACTTCCTGCATGTCTTACCAGGTCGTCACTCCATCTAGTGGGGTGTCGCCCTACACTATGCCTACCGGTACGAGGCTGCCACTCGAGAACCTTTCTTCCCCATCGGTTATCGGTTCTTCGAGCTATATGGCCGGCCCATTGCCACTTCAGCTTACTAATCCGTTAGGCTATGTCGGTCACTCTGGTTTTACTGCGGATATCCTAATTTCTGAGTCTATCACGCAGTGAAACTCCGAGCATAGCCCTCTACATAGCTCGCTGAGCGACCTTAAGCGTCCTCATACGGCCAGCGGTGAAGGACCACGTCTCAGATCCGTAAATCATCACTGGTAACACGCACTGGTTATACACTTTAGTTTACAGAGATTGAGGTATACCTGACGAGAAGATTTGTCGTAATTTCCCGAACGCTGCCCAGCCGAGTTGAATCCGTCGATTAACCTCTCGGTCGAAGTTGGACTTACCTAATCGGACTATTTGTCCCAGGTAAACGTACTCGTCAACAACTTCGAGCATAGTGCTCCCAACAACTACCGGCATAGGTGTGACATGGACATTAAACATGATCTTTGTTTTGTCCATGTTCATCTTAAGACCTATCCGTTGGGAGACACCATTGAGGTCATTGAGCATAGTGCTAAGGTCCTCCAGCGATTCTGCCATAAGGACTATATCGTCGGCAAATCGAAGGTGAGTGATGTACTCGCCATTGATGTTAATACCGTATCCTTTCCAGTCCAGTAGCTTGAAAACGTCTTCCAACGCAGCGGTGAAGAGTTTCGGGGATATAACATCACCCTGTCTTACACCTCTCTGCAGTTGGATAGGTTTCGTACTCTGGTTCTGTACTCGGATAGCCATCGTAGCCCTACTGTACAAACACTTCAGTACTCCAATAACCGATAGTCAACTGTAGCACCGCCCAAATTTCGACGGAATCAAAGGCTTTCTCATAGTCCACATACGCCAGGCAAAGTGGCAGATTGTACTTGTATGTATGTGGTCTATGGTGCTGAAGCCTTTTCGGAAACCGGCTTGTTCGGGAGGCTGGAAGTCGTCGAGTCTGCGTGCGAGACGATTCGTAATGACTCTCGAAAACAGCACGTAGACGCGGCTCAGAAGGGAAATCGGTCTGTAGTTCTTCAAGAGGGCGTTGTCGCCTTTCTTAAAGAACAAGACCACCACGCTTCTGCTCCACGCCTCCGGAGTAGTGCCACCATGGAGGACGGAATTGAAGAGCTTCTGAAGGACTTCAAGTACCGGTGTTCCACCCGCTTTCAGAAGCTCCGCTGTAATTCCATCCTCGCCCGGGGTCTAGCCGTTTTTAAGGTGGTGGAGAGCCATTCTAATTTCGCTCAGACTGACGTCCGGGATATCATCGGAATAGTGTCGGATAAGACTTGCTCTTGGATCGTTACTCACACTTGCGTGTGGCTCCAACGATGATGTGTACAGCTGCCCATAGAACCTCTCAATCTCACTCAGAATCTCAGGTGTCCTGGAAACGATGTTGCCACACTCAGTTTTCAGCCTTGACAGTTGGCTCTTTCTGGCAGACAGATCTCTGGCAAAGACTTTGGAGCCCTGGTTCCGCTCGATCGCTTCTTTAATACGAGCAGTATTAAAGTTGCGTAAGTCTCGCCGCATGCATTTGGAGATCTGTCTGTTCAGTTGCCTGTATGCTGTCAAATCTGTTGACGATTGCAGCCTCATCTCCCGTCTAACAGTTTCTCCTCATTATTGCAATCCTCTAGGCACTGAAAGCGGTTTTGTAACTCGAGCTGAAAGGTTTCGGGATTCTGGATTAGAGCCCGAGGGGGGACGGAGCGTTGACTTCATTAGACGAGACCTCTTCAACTTAACATTTAGGTTCAGTGTCCCTCTAACCTTTCGGTGATCGCTGCCAGTTTTCACCCTTGCGATCACTGAGACATCACTGAACAGTTGGCGTCTGGTAGTCATAATGAAGTCAATCTCATTTTTTATCGAACCGTCGGGGCTCGACCAGGTCCACTTCCTGTGGGGCCGCTTCTGGAAGAAAGAGTTCATCATAAAGAGTCCCTCTTTCTCCATAAAGTCGGCCAGCTGCTGGCCCCTTCGGTTCCGTTGCCCTACTCCAAATTTCCCCACCTTTAGCTCACCGCTTTCTCTTGTGCCTAGTTTTGCGTTGAAGTCTCCCATCAACACCGTGTAGTGGGTTTTGCAGGAATGCATGGCTCTGGAAATATCCTCATACATTTCCTCCACCTCCTCATCGGGATGTGCCGAGGTTGGTGCGTAAACCTGTATGACCTTCAGCGAATACCGTTTGGTGATTCTGAGTATCAGGTACGCGACCCTCGTCGACACACTCCCAATCATTACAACGTTGTTGACGAGAGACTTGTGGACGATAAATCCGACACCTCCTTGGGACAGATGGTCGCCCTCCCGGTGGTAGAACAAGTTGCCGGACTCGAGGATTGCCGTATCCTCCCCCTCTCTTCGTACCTCGGATAATCCAATAATATGCCAGCGCAACTTGTCTACCTCTACTAAAGATTACATGATTGATAATAATTTCTGGGAATGAGATAATCGCTACCATGCTATTTCTTAATGTTTTCATACTAATTATATTAAATATATTACATTATTGCATTTTTTTTCATAAGTTCCACCAGGTTTCTTACTAATTCTTCCCAGAACAAAGGTGTTTTCCGAACCAGTGTTAAAGCTTAAATGATTGTCAATAAGAAGGTATTCCTCTAATCTATATTGAATGCAAGTGGTAAAATTAAAACTTTTGTGCTACCGACTTCAATATAAATAAAATGTGAACATCATCAATGTAGTTGAAGTCAACTAAATAAGCATTATCAAAGATAACTCAAAAACTACTAGTCAGATGTTGATCAATCACCAGCTGTCAGATTAAAAAAATTCATTAAAATCGGTTCATCCAGAGAAATCTTATGAGACAACACACATAAAAAACATACAGTCGAATGGAATACCTCCTCCTTTTCAAAGTGTGTAAAAATGATTATATTCTATTCTATTCTGATTATCAGCCATAATAACTGTCTACTGCTGGGCGTCTTTCAATAAACGCCACGATTCGGCGCAGGACAGGATTATAGTATCTGAGTGTTTGGGCAAGCACAGTCCGATAGGACGGTAAACGAATACAACCGGAGAGAGATCAGGTGCAGGACCATCAAATTTACCTGCTTTCGCGGGGTTGAAACACCGCCTACTTTCTTGTCACAAACCCCAATAACTTATTTTGACCCGATCACGATATACTTCACCGTGACTCTACCACGTATAAAATACCTGCTCTTACCTCTTACCTGTTCACACCACCATCTAACTCCAATAATAAAGTCTAGATTTTTACATCTCACCAATAACGTTCTTGACTTCCTCCTTGTCAACTTACCCCTCTCATCAAGTCTCCCACGAGTCCGTTCCAAGATCCATTTGCCAGCTTCTGCCCAAAGCCACCAGATTTGGGAGAAACGATTTCATAATCAAATTCCATGGCCTGTAAATTTTATGTTTGAAATTTCAGCAGGCTTATTCATTTCCTATCTGCATCCTAGCTTCGCTTAAATTTCAAACCACATGTAAACATAGCTACAATTTGCAAACCACATCTTATCAACGTTGTAATTTCCAACTACAATTACCAACTCATATCTTATCATCACTACTACAATTAACATCATCAAAATTTAAAACCACGGCTTTATATCACTCCAATTTTTTTAGAGAATAATGGTGACTAACCAGCACACAGTCCACCTAACGGTAAGTAGATACTGTGGTCTGTGGGCCATAGACATCTACATCTATCCACGATTAAAAATTAAAATACAGACGCGTTGGAACCTCTGAGGCCTAAGGTGGAAAACCTCCTTTCCAGTGAAAAAGGTCTCCGGTTCTCTACACGCACCATATGAAACGAACACGCAGCAGCATTAAGCTGATCGTGACCGTAATCCTTCCCCGAACGAGTCACCACTTTCGTATTACAGCCACAACATATCTGCAGCATGATTCTACCACTTATATCTAAAAGATACCAGCCACATCTGCATCTTTCGCTCCAATTTCCAAACAGTTATAAGCGTTAGAATTTTACGAACTATTGGAGAAAAAAAAGAAAAGAAAATTTTTGCATAGGTATATTTTGTATTTATTTGTAATTCTAGATGGCGCTAATGCTACTTTCGCTCACCATATCATTAGACCATCGCATTGTAATAAGGACAAATTTAAATGTTATACATTACATCGTTTAAGTATTGCAAAACTTTAATTAAGATACGTATCAAGGCGTTAATTTCATTCCTTTCCTAATCTGTAATTTCTTTTATAGATTAAGGGTGGCAGACGAGCACACAGTCCACCTGATAGTAAGTGGATACCGTGACCCACCCCCATAGATATCTCTACATTTATCTTCGATTAAGAATTGAAATGCAGATTGCAGATACGTTGTCAGCCCTGAGGATTAAGATGGAATGCCTCGTTTCCAGTAAAAAGGGTCTCCGGTTCCGGTTGCTATTTTACGCTGGTATTCTGTGAGAGCGTGGTCCCACCCCGGTCGAGTCTACCCATTCGTGCTATAACCATAATAAAGCTGCAGCGTGGCTCTACCACGTTAAATAGAAGAACTACTGGAAGTCTTACCCCCTGGAATACAGTGGTAGATACACTGCTGATTGGTAGTAGGAAGTGGGTAACCCAACCCAGATAGGCTTTTATTTTAGGCAGAAAAGAATCCAACTTTAAAGGCAAATATTCGCGAAAATATAGAAATAGCCACTTACTTCAGACAGTTTGTCGATGAGGTCGACACAATACCCATGGTATATTGGCTCACTATCCTCATTGACCATATTTTCACCGGTTACTGGGTCATGTTTCTGCATAGTCCAGGGTATAGCCTAAAAAGAATTATAAGGTTCTTTGATTAAAACTACTTTTACGGATTTTATCGCGTTTATATTACTTTTAATTACTTTTGTTTTTAATTCCCGACGCACCACCCATGGTCACGGGGGACTGAAATAACTGACGTTCCGATGTCATTGTTAAATCCGGAGTACCTTCAGCTTTTTTAATTATTTTTTATGGTCCGATCTATGGAAAATGAACTGACTATGTCCTGAGGTCTTGCAGTGGTATGCTTGGGTGTAGTTTTAATGTTATTGATTATAGGATCCCAAGCAGGTGGTAGTCAGCCTCCTTCTCTATTGAAATTAGGATGTTTTTTAATTTCAATAGCCTCACGTATCATCCTTGGTAGGAATCGGTGTTCTTTCGCGAGGATTTGCGGTCTATCAAATCTTATGTAATGGTTGGGGCCGTCTAGGATATGACCACAAACTGCAGACTTCCCGGAACGTTGATGCTTCACATCAGCTATATGTTCTTTTACGTTAATCAAAAAGTGTCTCCGGTTCTCTACACTCACCATATAAAACACAGCAGCGTTAAGCTGTAATTTTACGCTGGTGTTCTGTGACAGCGTGTTCCTTCCCCGGTCGAGCCGACCCATTCGTGCTGCAACCATAATATAGCTGCAGCGTGGCTCTACCACGTTGTAACTTCAGACTTCTTAGCAACTTCTGAGCAACCGTGAAATATTCCCTCCATCATCCGCTAAAACAGTGATCCTTGCCGAAAGGCTACTGTAAATAGTGCCATTGTACTTCTTGAAAAAAATTGGGATCCTAAAATTAAATCCAAAGCCAAGCATACCACTACAAGGCTTCAAAATTCTGATCCCTGGGTGATGCAAAGTACTCAAAACATTGATATTTTAAAATCGCTATTAAAAACAAAGTATTCTTAAAAATTACTTACAGGTGCGGTCCCAATCCTATAAAACATTCGCAACGGCTCCAGTACAACTCCTGGAAGTAGCTTGTACTCCTCGTCAGCAGACCAATTCCCTACAGTCTCTAGACCAGCATCAGGCTTGTAAATAGAGAGAATGAACCGGGAACGTAGAAAGAGGCTAGACCTGGTTAAAATGTTAATATGTGAATTAACATTATTATGTTCATTCCATTTTTATAGGTGATGATGATGAACGAGCACATGGACCAGCTGCTGTAGCCCACAGACATATACAACTATCTTCAATTAAGAATCAAAATGCAGATGCGTTATTACCCTTGAAGACAAACATTGAATGCCTGTATTGCAGTAAAAAGGACATCCGGTTTTCTACACTCTACCATACCAAACACAGCAGCATTGAGCTGCTATTTTACGTTGGTATTCTGTGAGAGCATCATCTTTCCCGGTCAAGTCAAGTCGATCCACGCATTTTCCAACATATAATAGCTGCAGCGTGGCTTTAACACGTATAAAAACTAGATGGTAAATAAATATCACGGCTCACATACATACATCCACATCTAACCTCGATCAAGAATCCAAGTGTAGATGCGTTTTATATCATCACCGAATACTCAATCATCACGTTGCCACCCTTGAGGACTAAAATGAAAGTCAGAGCTTTACACAACTATGATAAAAGAAAGACCAATCCAACTAACTGACATAATCCGATTAATGCCAGTCTGTGTATTCATGGAAAGGCTAAAAAATTATGTGTATGTGTATTGAGTTGATTGAGTTGAAGTTGATGGCTCGCTGATTCTATCGTTGTAGCGAAATCGTAAAGATGACCCTTTTTAAAGCGTATTGCCAAAACATGTACACGGGAAATCTGTAGGCCAGTTATACCAAGAAGTCGCTGGACACCCTACGAGTCCATATAACTCGTTTCTGTAGTGCATCACCGATGTTTGCGGAATACCAATAATGGTTTTGGAGCCATTATTCACAAAAAACCACATCTTTAGGGCACGTGGCAGTCCCAAAACAGTGTTATTTAATTTAGATCCAAATTGACTTTATTTTGACATTTTATTTAATTTTGATTGTATTTATTTTAATTTAATTTAGTTGACATTATTTGATTTCGATTGATTTTTATTTGATTTTTCGTATGATTGTATTTTAATTTTGACATTACTATTATTTGATTATTATTTTTATTTTATTTTCATTGTGATTTCCTTTTGGGTTTGAATTTGTTTTAGTTTTGATTCAATTCGATTTTATTTAATGTTCTCAATTACTAACCTAATCTAAGTCGTACTAACAACTTAAAGATCTTTGACATCTGAAATAAAGAATTATTATTATTATACGCGGGCGTTATGTCCTTACCTTTCAGCATCCCAAAACAAAAGAGTATCATTACTGGAGGTTTCGACCGCAATCTGGTCACGGAATCTGTCTCCAAACTCCTGTGAGTTTACTTTGCGGTCACCACAACGTACGGATGAAAAGGTTACATCTGTAAGCTTGGTAAAAGCATTCGCTACGACCTGAAGAAGGGCGTTCAAAATGTATTGCTTCCTCTGAAAATAAATGAGTAAGATGTTTGCACTATAATATAAAAAAATGTTGTGAAGCCGCGTTTCGGTTAGCAGATAGGTCTGTCAGATCGGAAGAGCAAAATATTTAGACAAATTTAGGAAATAATAGGATTTTGGGGTAGGTAGTTGTCGGGAGAAATAAATATTTAAAAAAAGGTAATTTTTTTAAATTAGGCGGCTACAAAAAGACTTAACATTGTTGACACATAACTAATTTAGGGTCACTTAATTTTTAGGTTGCAACCACATCTATTAGTCATTGAACTTTACTAGAGTCCATCAATTTGGATTCTTTAGTCGTATTCAGAAAAGATTTACTTCATAGTTCAGTCTAATAACTAACTCATCTTTTAAGGTTGCCTCAAAAGAGGAAATATTATCATGACTCTGCCTTGATTGTCATGACTCTGCCTTGATTATCATGACTGCCTTGATGCCACCATGACAGCAAATCAAAGTCGACTGCTGAACATAAATCACTCCATAGGTTGCCTCAAAAGAGGAAATATTATCATGACTCTGCCTTTCATGGCTCTGCCTAATTATACAGACTGCCTTGATTCTATCATGACAGGCTATCAAAGTCCACTACTGAACATAAATCACCCCATAGGTTGCCTCAAAAGAGGAATTATTATCATGACTTTGCCTTGATTATCATGACTTTGCCTTGATTATCATGACTCTGCCTTGATTCCACCATAACAGCCTATCAAAGTCCACTGCTGTACATAAATCACCCCATAAGCTTGCCGTAGTTACCACGCTTGACAACCGGGTTGGCAACTGCAGTTTATTATTTTCTAATTGTTATCAGGAAGACGCTGCTGCCCGTCTCCGGGTTTGTTTCCCTTTGTCACTTACGACACCCATGGGACGATTATGGGGCAGAGGATATTCTTACACCGCAACTACACTGTTAATTTAATAGTAATATTAATGAAACAGAAAAATTTTTACTAATTTTTTGGAACTACCCGAGATTTGAACCCGGGACCTCATGATCATAATCACCTACTATGTATGGTTTACGAACCAAATAGAAATTACCTCGATCTCCAAAGGACAGTTACAGCTCTCCTCCAAGCCCTGCAACTTGCAACACTCAACTTGGTCGACATGGAGGATGACAGTTGACAACACCAGCTGCGACAAATCAAAGCTGGACGCCGTGTAATCAGTCAGCACCAGATTCCAGCGGTAGTCGCGTCGAACCAGCTTCTCCTTGACCGCCTGTTTGATACAGGATATTGAAAAATTTAAAATGGTGGTCAAAATTCAACCGTAAATAATTAAATTAATACGTAATTAAGGGAGCTCTATTCGTTTTCAACTGCACATTAAAGATTTATCTAATACTAACTATTTCCCGCGACTTCACCTGCGTGGAATGTATACCATTGGATTTCTTTGGTTTGAATTTTTTTGCGGAACCCTAATTCTTTTTCTTAAATAAAATGAGCCTCAGCTACTCTTTATAACATCAGCTATCTGCTAGTGAAAGTCCCGTCAAAATCGGTCCAGCCGTTTCGGAGATTAGCCGGAACAACATTATATCATCAGCTATCTGCTAGTGAAAGTCCCGTCAAAATCGGTCCAGCCGTTTCGGAGATTAGCCGGAACAACATTATATCATCAGCTATCTGCTAGTGAAAGTCCCATCAAAATCGGGCCAGCCGTTTCGGAGATTAGCCGGAACAACATTGTATCATCAGCTATCTATTAGTCAAAGTCCCGTCAAAATCGGTCCAGCCGTTTCGGAGATTAGCCGGAACAACATAATATCATCAGCTATCTGCTAGTCAAAGTCCCGTCAAAATCGGTCCAGCCGTTTCGGAGATTAGCCGGAACAACATTATATCATCAGCTATCTGCTAGTCAAAATCCCGTCAAAATCGGTCCAGCCGTTTCGGAGATTACCCGGAACAGCATTATATCATCAGCTATCTGCTAGTGGAAGTCCCGTCAAAATCGGGCCAGCCGTTTCGGAGATTAGCCGGAACAACATTATATCATCAGCTATCTGCTAGTGAAAGTCCCATCAAAATCGGGCCAGCCGTTTCGGAGACTAGCCGGAACAACATTATATCATCAGCTATCTGCCAGTGAAAGTCCCGTCAAAATCGGGCCAGCCGTTTCGGAGATTAGCCGGAACAACGTTATATCATCAGCTATCTGCCAGTGAAAGTCCCATCAAAATCGGTCCAGCCGTTTCGGAGATTACCCGGAACAGCATTATATCATCAGCTATCTGCTAGTGAAAGTCCCGTCAAAATCGGGCCAGCCGTTTCGGAGATTAACCGGAGCAACATTATATCATCAGCTATCTGCCAGTGAAAGTCCCATCAAAATCGGTACAGCCGTTTCGGAGACTAGCCGGAACAACATTATATCATCAGCTATCAGCCAGTGAAAGTCCCGTCAAAATCGGGCCAGCCGTTTCGGAGATTAGCCGGAACAACATTATATCATCAGCTATCTGCCAGTGAAAGTCCCATCAAAATCGGTACAGCCTTTTCGGAGACTAGCCGGAACAACATTATATCATCAGCTATCTGCTAGTGAAAGTCCCGTCAAAATCGGTCCAGCCGTTTCGGAGACTAGCCGGAACAAACACACAGGCAGAAATTTTAAAAATTGTTTTTGTTATAAGCACCGTATATACTTTCATACGCATTTAGTAAAAAGCTGTTATTTTGACATTACAAACAGACTCTTCAATTTTATTTAGTTGAAAAAATGGGGTATAACATATGAACGGCATTTTTGAATTAAGCGTTTAAAAAAAAGTAATATAACAATTACTTTGCCCTTTCAGCCTGTGACCCAGTGAAGCGACAAGGTCAAAGATGCCTCGTAAACTTATTGTTTTATTGCCGTTCGTAAAGTAGGGTGGATATGATTAGAAATTTCGATAGATTTTATTTATTTACTTATATAATTCAAAAATTTTGTTTTTATTTTTTGTACAAAATCAGTACCATAGGCTTCTACTCCGTTCACATGTTATGCCCTATTTTTTCCAGACGGTAAAAAGGTCATTCAGTGCATATAGATTTATTCTACACTAACGCCTGATTCAATTATGTAATTAAAATTCAATGTCTTTTTCAATCTTAACACTCCGTTTTTATTTCCGTCACACTGTTTTAAACTTATAAATAAGAATTATGAAGTACTCACGCGTTTGTATGCGTCTCTGACGAATCTACCTTCGCCAATAATCACGTAGAAACCGGGTTCTGGCCTCATTGACTTCAAGGCTTTAGCGGAGTCTTTTGTTAAGCCCGCATGAACCCACACGCGCACATTGGATCGCCCAAGCAGCTCGTACAAAGTTCTGTCAACGTCTGAAAATATCTCTCAAGATTTCATGATATCCTGGTCTATAACCGTTTTGATTAGGATGTGCTGCCGAAACGCTGCAGCTATAGTAAGTAAGATTACTGTAAGCCAGCGCTTAACTACCATCCCACCTGATGGTAAGCGGTGATGAAGTTTAAGATGATGAAACGCACTGACTTGACAAACGCCTATTCACTCTCGCCAAGACACCCGCATTGTAATCGGATGGAAAGAGAGATGCTGGCAGCTTACTCCTTTGCTGTACGTATGATGAAAGACGAAGCAAACCATTTGGTTCGAATGCGTGGTAAGTCAACGACGAAAGGGTAGAGACTGGCGGAACATCTGGTTGTCCGATGGTGGAAGGAACTAAATTAAGCAATTCATGCGCACACTCCGAAATTCATCTTGTAGAAAACCGAAAGGCTGGCTACTTTGGGCCATTTAGGTGCCTAATATTGTTTGTGGCGTGCTGTATTATATGTTTCTTTCATTCTTTTGTTGATGCCTCGTTACCAGAAAAAGGTTTTCTTAACACACCATAATAAATATTGAAGCAAAACTATTATTTACGGATTTTATCGCGTTTAATTACTTTAATTTATTTTTATTATTATCTCATCATCATACTACAAGCCGCTGAAGAAGATTAGTCAATTTTTACCATCCATCAAATGTAATATTAATCTACAAGATGCAGGTGTGTACAAGCTAGATTGTGAATGTGGTCTCTCTTACATAGGTCAAACAAAGAGATCTATAAAAAACCCGCGAGAAGGAACATATAGCTGATGTGAAGCACCGACGCTCCAGGAAGTCTGCAGTCTGCGAAAATGTTCAAGATCGTCCCCACCATTACATTAGATTTGATAAACCACAAATTCTCGCAAAAGAACACCGATTCCTACCAAGGATGATACGCGAGGCTATTGAAATTAAAAAACATCCAAATTTCAATAGAGAAGATGGTTGGGTGCTACCATCTGCTTGGGATCCTATAATTAACAAAATTAAACTCAAACCCAAGCATACCACTGCAAGACTTCATGATACTATAAGCTCGTTTTGCGTAAATCGGACGAAAAAAATAATATTAAGAAAACTGAAGGTAGCCGGACTAACTATGACATTGGGACGTCAAACATCTCAGTCCCCCCCCGTGACCATGGGTGCTGTAAAGCACCCGAAACGTCGGGATAATAATAAAAATAAATTAAAGTAATTAAACGCGATAAAAATCCGTAAATAATAGTTTTATTCAATGTGTAGTGTTCCAGTAAATTTAAGAAATCATTAAATGTTGAAGCATTATTCTTCATGATGCAGTGGTTTTAAGCATTGAGTTACAGCGGTGTGGCACGAGGGTTCGAATCCCGCACGGGACAAAGATTTATTCCTACAAACAATTTTTATGCCTACAAACAATTATTCCGGGTGTGCATGTTTGCCCTTGTTTAAATTATGTCGTAAACTGCCTCTACCAAAGAGGAGGAGGGGGGAAGAAGACACATTTTCATGAAAAAGAAATAAAAGAATTATGCTGCAATATCACGCTGGTATTCTTGTGAGAGAGTGGTCCTTCCTCGGTCGAGTCGACCCATTCGTGCTGCAACCATAATAAAGCTGCAAAGTGGCTCTACCACATACAGTTTTTTTTAGTTCTATCTGTTAAAGCTGAGGGGATGTTCTATGGCGCCTTAATATTTATTCTCCGCTGCTTTGCTACGTCGAATAGAAACAAACGACTTCAGGCTTAAATTTTCTCATAATATATACGTGGTAGCGTGGTAGAGCCATGCTGCAGTTATATTAGAAGAATAGTTGTAGCACGAATGGAAGGATTACGATCTCACAGAATACCAAATAGTAGCTTAATGTTGCTATGTTTCGTATGGTCAGTGTAGAGAACAGGAGACCCTTTTTACTGGAAATGAGGCATTCCATCTTAGTCCTCACGGGTGACAACGCATTGCATTTCGATTCGTAATCGAGGATAGGTGTAGATTTTTATGGGCCACCGCAACCACTTACCATCTATTGGATTGTGTGCTCGTTTGTCACCCTATCCTATAAAAAAATAATTCCAAGTGATATTCCAGGTATCTCTCATCTGCTTTTGTGTACTTAAAATTTTGTCCAAATCGTTTTATCCATCATTAAGTGATAAGGTAACCATTATCATTAGATCATCACAGTCCAAATTAAATTCTACTGCAGAACATAGACATCCCCTTTTTTAACTGAAAGGGGCAGTTTGCCAGTGCCACGCTTAGCAGGCAGACTTGCAACCGCAGCTTTTTTATTATTTTGAATCGTTATAAAGAAGATCATCATCAGCCTGCGGCAGTCCACTGCTGGACATAGACCTCCTCCACTTAGCCCGACCTTCGGTTTAACGCATCCAGTTGCTGCCAGCCGCCTAGCGCATATCGTCGTTCCATCTAGCCAGCGGGCGTCCCACACTACGTTTACCTAAACGCGATCTCCACTCTAAGACACGCGTACTCCAACTGTTATCGCTTCTGCGACAAATGTGACCAGCCTATTGTTACCTCAGCCTACAAATACGGAAGGCTACGCCGGTGACCTTGGTTCTCCAGCGGATTTCTTCGTTACGAATCTTATCCACCACAGAAACTCCGAGCATAGCTCTTTCCATCGCCCGCTGGGTGACTTTGAGTTTGTGGAGTATTCGTACCGTTAGTGTCCACGTTTTGGCACCATATGTGAGTACTGGCAGGACGCACTGGTCGAAGACTTTCGTCTTAAATCTTTGCGGTATAGGCGACGAGAAGACCTGACAAAGCTTCCCGAACCCGCTGCCCATCTCCTGGTTCAGTTTCCCTCTGTCGTCTCTTACGACACCCACGAGATGATACCGGGTAGCGGGTTTTCTCACTCCGCCAAGTAACGGCGAGTGATTGTGTTATTTATACCTTCTAACATTTAGGGGTGAGACGTATTGACCGTAACAGATAAAACCTGAAAAGCTGTTGACCGCGGTAGGCCAAACCTGGAACTTACCGCTTGTTTTGAGCTTGAAACACTCGACTATCCTCTAATTGATTGATTTTTGCGCTTAAAAATTCAAAAGTTATACCATAAAAACGAGTACCCGGATGACCGAGCTTTGCTTGGATTTTTTTTATGAAATTACATTTAGATAAAAATTACATACTGATGAATAATATTTTTTGATCTTATTGACATAATAGAAAAAACTGAACTGGTTATTCGAATAAAAAATCAAGTGCAATTAGTTTAATTAAAATGTTCGTATTTTTAAAATATACTATAAAAAAGGGCTCGAAATAATAGATTTTCTCACAAAAGAAGGGAACTTGAAAAAAAAGAAAAAAAGTCGGACCGAAGACGGGACGCGAACCAAGGCATTACGATTTCGCGACCGCTCGATTGCCACTTGAGCTATAACGATCATTCACACAGTGTCAAAATTTTCCTTCTTATATTGTAGCAGTTTTTTTATTGCCTAAAAACACGGACCAAAACATTTTCTGGAAGCTATTATTTATTTCGCCATATTATATTATTATTTATTAGCCATTAGCTAGATCGTTTTATTGCCCCCGAAACTCCCTGGACACTAAATTTTATGAAAATCGTTGGAGCCGTTTCTGATATTCCGATTATATACATATATACAAGAAATGCTCGTTTAAAGGTATAGGATTATTTAGATATTATTTTAAAGGCAATAACTTTTGAAAGCCTCTTAAGTGCCAAAAATTTTTTGTCAGGCCTTGATCAGATCAGATTCAGATCGAAGAATTTAAAAGTTATCGCAAAACAACGATTATTTAAAAAATTTATTTAACTTAACTTTAATTTTTGAAAACGTTTTTACTTACTAAAGATATTGTACGACAAAATATTATTTACGTACATACAATACGTGGGTGAATTGTATGTATGTTAATAATATTTTGTGTGTTTGCACACACACAAACACGCGCACGTACGCACGCAATCATGCAATCACGCACGCACTCGTAAACATAACAGGTGCTTTTATGTTCTTGCTTACTACCCGCGCGGTTGAAGAATGGGATCGAAAATGGCGACGCCTCTATTCACCTCTCGCTCGTACACTGTCGCTATCTATAGTCGCACCCACCGGTAACGACTACATAAAAAATACGTTGCGATATGTGTTTTTCGTACGTTCTATAACTTCAGAACCACTTACTATTGGAATTAATAATAACAAAATGGCTTAAACCAGAAAATAATCAGTCAAGTTTTGTTAATTTGTGAGCTACGACGCGTTATGAGTGTTCTTCATAATGTAATTACATTTAAATTTATTTTTGCCATTGAGACATAACTAACCATTTATTTTTAATTTTCGTTTGCCTGTTTGTTCAAGCTAATCTTCGGAATCGCTGAACCGATTGCAATAAAACTTCACGAACAAATAGAGTGTATTATCAGGAGTGAACTAGACTTAATTATAAAAATTTAGAGGTTTACGCCACATTATTAGAAACCACTTAGGCAAAGCCAGAGCACGTCGCTAGTTATAAATTTTATTTTAAATTAATGTACCTACTTGCGTGCACAGTTTTTTTTTAATATTTTCTTATTAATAGAAAATTTCCAATTAACCGAATAATATGACGTTACAACGATATACCGTTATTAACGGGTTTTCGCTATTGGTACTGTACATGTTGACGGTACGGGCTTTATGAGCCACCATATCTAATCTCATTCTTTACCCGTACGGCCTATAGAGAGGTCGGAATGAGCCCAGAAAACATTATTATAGCCACATAATATTAATACAGAGATATTTTAATAAAAATAACGTACCGCTCTCACTCTCTAACAAAATAGCGGCGTCGGTCGCATTTCTAAACTCGAGGTAACTGTCGAGAGCTCCCACCAGTTGCTGTGATCCTAGTACCGTCCTAAGTAAAGGCAATCCCGTGTCCGCAGACAACTGCTCCGCCAACTCCCAAGAAGACCAGGATAGGTCGATGATGATGGATGCTCCTTTAGTAAGAGCTGTACACACTGTAAAAGTACAAAGAATATTCATTCCCTCGTTCTTTTTTTTAAAGAAAAAAGAAAAGAAAAATCTTATTATAGCCCGAAAATAGTTCTGGGTTCAAATTCAGGGTCGGGTCACAAAATCAGGAAGTAGGCAGTGTTTCACCCTCATGCCTAGGAAAGCATTTAAAGCCATTGTTCTGCGCCTGATCTCCCTAAGGTAGTTTCGGGTTACTTTCCCATCAAACAATGAGAGTCAGAGAATAGAGTGCACGTATACTTTGCGTACATACTCGGCCACTATAATCCTGTCCTACGCAGATGGCTGGTTGCAGTTAAGATTGGCCGCCGTGATCGATATTTGCTCTGGATGACATTTATTTGCCATAGTTGCAATGCCTGGCCGCCACCCCGCGCACCTCAGTCCGCATCGCGACACGTCCCACCCACCCCGCGCCGGAAAGATGAGCGACAAACCGAGCAGCCAATCAGCGCGCGGCCGACTCATCGAATTCGTGTGGAGACTCTACACCCTCGCGGCCCAAGCCGCAGGAATATAAAAGGAGCGCCCGGCCGGGCAAGATGCCTGCGCCCCCTATTCCCCAAGGGGATTCCTATACGGCAGAAAGGCCCTCCAAAACAAAGCCAGTCCCAGGTGGTGTTTAGTGAGGAGGCACTTAGGTTTTCATAGTGGGTCCCACATAACCACGCCGCCGGCTGCGGATTTTCCCTTGCCTTAAAACCCTCTCAGAAATGAGAGCAGGCCTGTGCCCAGCGGTGGGACGTATATAGGCTGTAACTTTAACTTTAACACCACGGTACGGATACACCAGTGTCGTAACTATGTGTTAAATCTTAGAACAGATTTCCTTTTCCGCATACAACTCCATCAGAGTGGGAACTTATTACTGACGCCAAACAGAAGTAGGTTGAAATGAAGTTACTAGATTGTGGGACTCGTTTTGTCCAGGAGTTCACCTTTTTTTTTTTTTTTTTTTTTTTTTTTTTATAGAAGAGGGGGCAAACGAGCATGTGGCTCACCTGATGTTAAGTGACTACCGCCGCCCATGATCAACCGCAACACCAGGGGAATTGCAGATGCGTTGCCGGCCCTTTAGAAAGGAGTAAGCTCTTTTCTTGAAGGTCCCCAGGTCATTCCACAGAGAGGTTGTACGCGGAAGAAAACTCCTTTTGAAACGTACAGTGGTGGACCGCCAAGCATCCAGATGGTGTGGATGGTATCGGGACGTTTGCCGTGTAGTGCGTTCACGAAATTTGGCGGCTGGGATTAATCCGAACAATTCCTCAGAGCACTCCCCGTGATAGATGCGATAAAATACGCAAAGAGATGCAACATCTCTTCGCAGCGCCAGTGAATCGAGCCGATCGGAAAGCACTCGGTCGTCGACGATTCGAGCCGCTCTGCGCTGGATGCGGTCAAGTGGAAGGAGCTGGTACTGGGGAGCCCCAGCCCAGAGATGGGAACAGTATTCCATGAGCGGCCGAACCTGCGCCTTGTAAAGTTGCAGGCGGTGTGCCGGCATGAAATACTGTCCCGCTCTGCTGAGCACGCCAAGCTTTTTAGAGGCCAATTTGGCCTTCCCTTCCAAGTGACCACGAAACTGCACGTCACTCGATATGTCGACGCCGAGGATTCCGATACTGGCTGAGGCAACAAGGGGAGTGCCTTGAAACTGAGGGGATACGACAAAGGGGTTCTTTTTAGCGGTTAACGCGCAAACTTGTGTCTTCTGGGGGTTAAACTGGACTAGATTTAGTCGCCCCCCAATCCGAGACTCTGTCCAGCAGAGACTCGACTTCAGACACAAGTTTGTCCCGGCACTCAGAGAAGTTTTCCCGAGAAATATTTGCTATGCCGGTGTAAAGAGCATCACCAGTGCTGTCATCTGCATAGCAATGAATGCTACGGGTTTGCAACATATCATTGATATGCAGAAGAAACAGCGTTGGCGATAGCACGCAGCCCTGTGGAACACCAGCATTAATAAGCTTGCAATCGGAGCTTGCACCGTCTACAACGACCTTGATGCTCCGATCTGCAAGAAAACTGGTGATCCAATCGCACAATTTCTCGGGAAGCCCATAGGAAGGGAGCTTCGAAAGAAGCGCTTTGTGCCAAACCCGATCGAAGGCCTTCGCAATGTCCAAACTAACGGCCAATGCCTCCCCCTTGGACTCTACTGCCTCCGCCCATCTGTGAGTTAGGTAGACCAGAAGATCACCAGCTGACCTACCACGGCGAAAACCGTATTGGCGGTCACTAATCAGCTGGTGATCCTCAAGGTACCTCATGAGCTGGCAGTTTACAATGGACTCCATTGTTTTGGAGAACAAGGAGGTGATGGCGATAGGCCGGTAGTTGGACGGGTCTGAGCGGTCGCCTTTTTTAGGGATCGGGTGGACGAAAGCCGTCTTCCATGATTTTGGGACTACGCCTAGGGAGTAGGAGTACCGGAAAAGACGCGTTAAAACCGGTGCCAACTCTGGAGCACACGTCCTCAGCACAATTGGGGGGATTCCATCAGGCCCACTCGACTTATGGATGTCCAGGGAGAGGAGTGCTCTGCGAACCGAGCGCTAAGTGAACTGCACTTCCGGCATGGAGCACTCACACCGCGGGATGGTTGGCGGCGTACTCCCCCCGTCATCGAGAGTCGAGTTAGACGCAAAGAAAGAGCCTAGAAGATCGGCTTTCTCCTTTGCGGTGTGGGCCAGTGAGTCGTCCTCCCTGTGCAGAGATGGAAGAGATGGCTGACAGAAATTCCCCTGGACAGCCTTGGCGAGAGACCAGAATGCACGGGTTCCAGAAGGAAGACGAACTAGTCTCTCGCCAATTCTGCCTATGTGCTCTGACTTTGCCTTGGCAATGACTCTTTTGAAGGACCTAGAGGCGGAATTATACTTCTTTTTTAGAGCGCTGGTGTTTACATCCCTGGACGCTGATGCGTCAGCCCAGGCTTGGTAGCACTCCTGCTTATAGCATGATGCTATTTTACAGGAGCGACCAAACCATGGCTGAGATTTGCCTCCAATGGGCACCACAGAGGAAGGAATAAAAAGTTCCATACCCTGAAGTACCACATCAGCGACAGAATCCGCAACAACGTTGGGATCATCCGGCGAGAAACAAACCCGCCCCCAAGGGTAGGATGCAAAGAAAGACCGCATCCCATCCCAATCGGCTGACCTATAGTGCCAAACACGGCGGCAGCCTGCAGAATGCAACCGCGATTTCAGCGTGAGTGGCACCACACTCCGGACAAGACAATGGTCCGAGGAGCCTAAAGGGGCGTCGACGGAAATCTGATATCCGTCCGGGTGAGAGGTCAGCAGAAGGTCCAACAGGGAAGGTGCATGATCCTCCACATCTGGAATCCGCGTAGGCGAAGTAACCAGTTGTGTCAGACCATATGCCAAGGCAAAATCATGAACAGATCTCCCCGCATGATCGGTTAAACGTGAACCGAGCCATTCGGTGTGATGGGCGTTGAAGTCGCCGAGGATTACGATCTCTGCGGAGGGGATCTGCTGTAGCAACGAATCTGCAGCCATTTGGACGTGGTCGAAGAGTCGGTCTGTTTCGGCATTACCGCTATGGGACCTATAGAGGCACCCGTAGACGCGCGGATGGTCGTCGCTGTCTACGCGTAGCCAAAGGATGGACAGGTCCGAACCTTCAAGTCTGCCGAGGCGTCGAGAACAGATGTCCTCTCTGACGTAAACGCAAACTCCAGCCCGAGGCACAAAGGAGTGTTCCAGTTTGTACCCCGGGGGAGATACGAGACATCAGCCGGAGAGGACACCTGCGTCTCGGTCAGAAAGAGCAGAGCCGGCCTCGCCGTCTCGAGATGGTAGTGGACGGCGTTTAGGTTAGAGTGAAGTCCCCTGATATTGCAGAAATTCACGGACAGCGTGGCAGGGGTCGCCTTGGTCTTGTTGCTCCGTTTGCCCCGAGCAGTTTTAGTCTTGAGCGGAATATTGCCCCCCCCAGAATACGCGGGGCAGCCTGAGCACCCACGCTCAGAAGTGGAGAAACATGGTCGTGGATGCTCAGCGAGGGATTCTCCAGGGGTGCTGGTACCCTCCTGGGGTAGTCTATCATTTAATTCCGCTACCATGTTGATGGGGGGGGGGGGATTTGGGCCTCCGGCCACCTGCACTCACCAGACGAAACGCGGAAGCAGAGCTTCCACTTCACGCCGGTATTCTGTGAGGTCGTGGTACCACCCCGGTTTGAGCCGGCCCATACGTGCGACAGCAAAGCTGCCGCGTGGCTCTACCACTGTCAAGACCTTAGTACCTATTACCTATTTCTACCTATACCTTATATCTATATATACTTTAGTACCTATTACCTATTTCTTTATTAGATAGGGTGACAAACGAGCACACAGTCCACCTGATGGTAATTGTTTGCTGTGGCCCATATACATCTACATCTATCCTCGATTACGAATCAAAATGCAGATGAGCATCTATCACCTCTGAGGACTAAGATGGAATGTCTCATTTCCAGTAAAAAGAGTATCCGGTTCTCTACACTCACCAAACGAAACACAACGTTAAGCTGCTATTTGACGCTGGTGTTCTGTGAGAACGTGGTCCTTCCCAGGTCGAGCGGACCCATTCATGCTACCACTATACTACTAATATAGCTGCAGCGTGGCTCTACCACGTACAAATGCACTGCTGTGTTCAAAAGGATATAATTACAGCCTGTGAGGCATTCCATCTTAGTCCTTATAAAGGTCACAACGCATCTGTTCTTCTTTGATTGAAGTTAGCTGCTTGGATGGAACGCAGTAGCCACGTAGCAGTAGTAGCAGTTCGTTTGTCACTTCATTTTTCTAAAAACAATCATGTTTGTATACCGTTTAAGGGTAACAACACACGTCTAGTTACGTTCAACTAAAATTCACTTCCAGTTGCAAAAGCAAATGAATCTGAATGTTACGAAGGCGACACTCAAATTTTAGAACTAGCCACTTGTAAACGATATAATAAAAAAATAAGTTCAAATTTTGAAAATAGAACTCTTTGCCAATATTATTGTGCATGTATTTTATAAATTTTTCATTTGGTTACCATTTGGCGGCAAATTCAAAATTGTCTGTCACGTCTGCTTGACTTTCGATGTCATTTAAGTCAACAAGAAAGTTATGATAGACTTCGATTGGTCTTTCACAATGAAGCCTCATCTCGTGCCACTATTAACAACTTGTTTCATGAGTTTGAACGTGGTCGCACTAATCTCACCGATGATCTGCGTGAGGGACAGCCTTCTACGGCGACGACTGAAGATAGTCATCACCTCAGATCGCCTCATCAGAACATCAGTGTTGTGCAGCATGTGATAGAGACTGACAAAAGAGTGACTTATCAGCAGATTCGGACTAGCTTAGGCAGCGGTATGAGTCAAGTGCACAAAATCCTCCATGAACATTTAGCGGTCAGGAAGTTTTGTGCCTGGTGGATACCTCATAATTTGACAGAGGCCGAAAAACTCCGTCGTGTTGATTGGTGTCGTGAAATGGTTCAAAGATTTAACGGAGGTAAATCAAATGCTGTGTTCGACATACGGGTGACAAAATTTGGATTTATTGTAATGATCCTGAAACAAAGAGACACTCTACTGTCTGGGTGTTTCCTTCCGAGGAGTTGCCAAACTAAAGTGAAGAGAGGTCGAAACGTGAGAAATAAGACGGTTGGCTCGTTCTTTGGAAGGTCGGGTTATTACGCAACAATTGTTTCATAAGATCGAACAGTTACTGCAGAGTGGTACACTTACAATTGTTTGTCACTTGTCTTGGAAAAAGTTCGGGAGAAACGACCTCGTAGTAGGATCCTCCTTCACCACGACAACGCGTCGTCGCACACCGCCAAGCAAACAATCGACTACTGCGCGACGTCAGACGTGGGATTACTGGGTCACCCGCCCTATAGCCCCGACCGAATTCATTTATTTCCGAAAATAAAAGAAAAACTTAAAAAAAATAGGAGGAAAACGTTTTATGGACGCCAAAGAAGCAGTCGCTGCGTTTCAAAATGCCGTCTAAGAGACCCCTAAGGACGAGTGGGCAAAGTGCTTTTCTCGATGGTTCCATCGGATGCAGCGACGTATTGTTGTAAATGGAAACTATTTTGAAAAGATATAATAAAACTAATATCTTGCTAGTTTGTTCAGTTTTTGATTTTCTAAGAACTTTCAGTGTCACCATCGTACTAGATGTGACTTCTAGTTGAATGCAGCTAGAAGTGTTTTGGGGAAATGCCGAGAGGAGGGCATGCGTAATACCCTCCTCGCGGGAGCAAAAACGGGTTATGACAGACTCGCACCGACTAAAACTCCACTGTGTTTCGCACACACCCTGGGGCCGAGGGAATGCTCTCGAGAGAGAACTTCTCCTCCCCCATTCCTTTATCAGGTAAGGTGCATCGATAAAAAAAATAAAGAAATCATTATAAAAGCATATAAATATGAGAAAGTAATACGAACATTTTCTGTAAGCCTCTTCCTCATTTTCTCTGTCCAATAACACAATATCGTCGCTCAATTTCAGTTCTGAATTAGCTTTTTCGGTTAGTTTCATAGCCCGGCCTATCTTCTCAGGTAGATCCACTTCATGTATCTCGATAATGAAAACTGCAATAAATATAAAATATATCCTTTCGCATATATAATGTAATGTAAGATATCTGCAGGTAAACCATGAAGTGAAAATGCTGGAGTGGCAATGGGCCAATCGTTTACCTACTCGAAATACGAACAGTCAATGGAGAAGAAAGGTCTTCGTGTGACAGCGTTGTGAGCGAAATGTAGGGCTCGAGAAGACTAAAGTGTGTCTGTCACACACTAGGACGATCTGGTAAGACATCCAGGGAGTCTCCATTGAATAAGGTGGTTCACGACCGTGTTTCGTGCTATCTTGTAGTAGTTCTATGTTCAGCGGTGGAATAATGAGGGGCTGTAGGTTGGATGAAAATAATGTATGAATTTGACATTAATAAAACTCGCACCCATTTTAGCAGTCGATGTATAAAAGACCACATATTCATTTAATAATGTCAGTAGACCACCGGTTTTTTTTATTTTATCTACTTAGTCAGGTCATAAGTTCTGTCAAAAACTCTTTATAAAATTAATGATACACTTTTTGAAAGGAAAATAATTTTTTTGAAATGAAAGGTAATTTAATTTAGAATACAATTATTTTATTTACATTATTCAAAATGCCCTCCCCTATTTTGAAAACATGAACTTAATCTACGCGGCCAATCATCAATCGCAGCACGCACCACACTCATATCTATTTCTGCCGCTGCTTTAGCCAAAGATGCTCGAAAAGATTTCAAATTCTGATGAGATTTAGCGCAGATTTTTTCTTCCGAATGTTTCCATGTCTTATAATCCAGTGGGCTTAAATCTGGACTAGAAGAGGGCCAGTCTTCATGTCCGATAAAGTCAATTCCATGGGCGGTCAACAAGCTTTGCGTGCTTCATGCCTTATGAGCTGGTGCAGAGTCTTGTTGGAATATCCAATGTCTGTTTTTGAACATTTTGAGAAAGAGGTTCCACTATCTTTGTTAGGACGGTATTTTGGTATACCTCGGCATTGGTTTACACGTTTTTCACAGAAAAACACCTCAGTTAAGCCCGAATATGAGACTCCAAGCCAAACGATGAGTGAGGAAGGATAATGTGCTCGTTGAACTCTCGCTATACTCATGCTAGCTTCTTCACTAACGTGGGCATACCTTATCATTTTGTTTATTATAACTTTCTTCGATGTTAAAATTTTTTCATCCGAAAACTATAGTATATTTAGTATTTTTTTCCCGCGTACCGGTGTAACAAAGAGTGGGATCTATCCAGCCTATTTTTTTCAAACGCTCGTTCAAAAAATGTCCGGTCTTCTTTACGATAAGCTCGTAGTCCTAGGTGTTCATTGATCACTCTTTTGATCGTGGTTCTGCTTAGACCCAACTGAAGAGATAAGACTTTTTTGTTTACGAACAGGATTTCGTTGGATTCGTGCCTTCTCTGATTTGATGATCGCGGGTTTCTTAACTGTACGAGGTCGTCGGACCCCTTACGATCTTCGAAGCTTGAATTTTCAGTGAATCGTTCGATAGTGCGATAAACAATTCGTAGGGTTATTATCAATTTTTGTAGAATATTGAAAATCTTTTTTCGCGCGTAACCACAGCGGTGCAACGCGATAACCGCTACTCTATCTTCTTTCTTCGACCACTCCATATTTGAAAATGAATGAATAATGTCTACTTTATTTTCGGCGTCAAACAATTTTTAAAATTGGCGAAGTCATCTCGTCAGTATTCAAAAATTTTAAATAATGAGGTTTATGACCCGACTAGGTATATTTATTAACATCGCATTTTAGGTTACAAAATATTATCACTACAAAGGTATTCAATGTAAGTATTCTCGGTATTGGGGTGATTTGCTAATAATGTGGGTAATTAAAAAAAGTCATTAGCTAACGACACTACCTTAGGGGTATTAAATATGAAATTTCGTCTTGACAACTTCATTTTATCTTATGTAACCTTCAGTCATAGACGACAGGAATAACTGACTCGACAATGTTGAAAAATCGAACACCGTGCGGTGATGAATTTCTCGCTTAACAAAGGAAAACTCAAAAATATATGCATGAAGAAACGTGGGTATATGGTAGCAAAAGACAAAAGACAAAAAAAGAGGCAGTGAAGAAAACCCCCCCAAAGAGGAAACACCCACAAAAAAAAAAAAAAAAAAAAACAAAAAAACACAGACAAACACTCAGCCACTTTACCCCATTTGAGGGAAGCAATAAAAGAAAAGCGAAGAAGAAAGCTGACTGAGGCACTCCCTTAGTCAGCTTTCCTGCTATATGAGACTGCGGGCTTGAGGAAATTAATCAACCACCATACAGCCCAGATCCAGTCCCTAGAGATTAGTTCTATTCCCAAACTTAAAAAAGACCCTCGGGGTAAGCGATTAACTGACGATAATGAGCTCAAGTACGCTGTAAATTATCATTTTCAGGGAAATATGAAGAATATTTTCGATGGAATAGAAAAGCTTTTTTCGCGAACAACTAAGTGTATTGAGTTCATGGGGGACTATATTGAAAATTAAAAAATATTTCATAATTTTATCTTTTTTGTAACATACCGAGAATACATTGAACGCCCCTCGTATGAAAAAATGCAGTTGTAAAGTGATTTCTACCGGCACACCATTCTAAAATCGCGAATCTTGGTGGCGAACAACAAAAGTTGACAAATTCCCTATAATTAGTCTTCCTTAGATAACGAAGTTTAGATAAGAAATGGTTGGAAGATAGTGTACGACAGGCCACGCAGAAAGTTTTGCGAAAAAAGTTTTCTTGAAAAAGATACTGGCCAGTTATATTCTTTACTTAAAAATAAAACAACGTATTTAATTAAAAAAGAAGCGAGAAAAATACTTACGTGGTGGGTGCCGCACAACCCCACCGATACTTAGAAATAGGCCCGCGACATGGTTACGAAAATTGAAGTATCGTCTTGTTTACGACGATGACAACATTATAAAATGACTGATGAATCTTGGATTTATCTATACAATTCAAAAACTAAGATTGTTCGCTAGCTTTTTCTTTGACGGGATATCTAGTCTCAATTCCTTTACCGTAACAAAGTGACATCTATTACTATCAAAGGTTTGCCAGTTATATTCACTGCTGTAAACAGTCAACCGAACACGAAACTCCGCACGCTACTCCTTCAACATGCCAGTACGCCCGCACACTCAGCGAGAAACTTACTGAATCCAGTTGATTTTTGGGCCACCTTCTTTTCTCTCTCTCATCTTTTTATTCCCCAAATTAAAAACCTGCATAATTGGACAGTTTTTATCGCCCGAAGATGCGCTAGCAGCAACCGAAGTGTATAAAGCAAACTCGAAAGTGATTCGAAAATTAGTTTAGACGAATGAAATTCTTGATTTAATTTTAAAAACTTTAAACATTTTTTTGTCTCGCAAAACTTTCTGAGTGGTCAATGTATAGCATTAAGTCTATACAAATAAATAAAATTTAAGTGTCTGTTTATAATTTCAAAATAAGAAACAATCTTTTACTAAATACATATAAAAGAAAATATATTTTTTTTATAGATTAATGGGTGACAAGCTGACAAGCGAGCAGTGCTGGCGAGCACACAGTCCACCTGATGGTAAGTGGTTGCTGTGGCCCATAGACATCTACATCTATCCTCGATTACGAATCATGCGTTGTCACCCCTGAATACTAAGATTGAATGCCTCGTTTCCTGTAAAAGGGGTCTCCAGTTCTCTACACTCACCATACGAAACACAGCAGCACTAAGCTCCTATTTTACAGTGGTTCTGTGAGAGCGTGGTCCTTCCCCGGTTGACCCGACCCATTCATGCTACATCTATACTATTAATATAGCTGCAGCATGGCTCTACCACGATACTTATACCAAAAAAACAATTTTTAAATGTTTGTCTGTGTGTCTGTTTGTTCCGGCTAATCTCCGAAACGTCTGGACCGATTTTGACAGGACTTTCACTGGCAGATAGCTGATGTTATAAGGGTTAACTTGGGCTACTTATCTTTTAGAAAAAGAATTAGGTTTTAGCGCAAAGAAATTAAAACCCATGAAATGCAATCGTAATAAATTCCACACGGACGAAGTCGTTGAGAGTATTTAATACTCACTAAATCTCAAGCTCAGCTCGGACACCACACAACCTAAGTTGATGAGTAAAATAAGCAAGAGGCAATGCCACTCCATTTTTAATAAAATCTATTGCAAGAACGACAATTGTTGCACCCTTTCACCTTATTTATCAGAATTGCTGAAATATATTCTTGTAATAAATACGGAATGAACAGTGTCAAGAAAACGTAAAATAAAATTCTCAATTTTTCTAACATAACACAACTTTTTATAAAATATTTCAAACAACTGGGAGTAAGCTAAATTGTTAAAACAAAACTAAATATATACGTTGATTGATGTTTCGTGTTTTTTTTAATAAGAACGAATTTTTATGTTACTTTTCGCGCGCAAAGAAAGAAATCTGACAAGGTTATAATTTGACAATAACTTTCTACGGTAACTCTAACTCACTTTTTGAATAATTAAGCACATTATGAAGGGTAAGTAAAGCATAAGCAATTTTAAAACAGCTTTCATGTTCCATATATACCTGCGGTTGCGTTAAGCAAATAGGTTTTATCTGTACAATCGCGCTGTAAAATAGTTATTGGAAAATCCTTGGTCAAGAAAAACAAGGTGAAGTCTTCGCTTCTATTTAAAGGTTTTTTACGGATTTTAATCTTGAAAAAAAGAAAGTCGTAAGAAGCGACTATAATCTATTTCTATAATAACAAATGAAAACTTTTAATATTATTATCTCAGGTAATAGGTTTATTTTTTTATTATGTGCGAGCAGCTATGCAGGTCTAGAGAAAGAGACCAGTATTACTGCGACCTCAAAGATCTTTTATGATCGCTGCTATGGTTATAGTTCACTGCTAAACCCTATGTCTTCAATGAATAGAATGAGTTGCTTAGCCGTGAGCAATTTAACATCTTCTGGGCGGCATAGATAGTTTCCCGGATGAGTGTTACGTTTGCGCATTAAGGGTCCGCAATCAGTTAGGATGTGTAGAGGCGTTTCTTCCGTTATGGAACAGAACCGTCAAATCCTTGAGTTGCTTAGACCCAGGATGGACGTGTGCTTTTTAAGACAACAGTGCCCAGTTAGAGCTCTTGCCAGAATGCGCAATTTCTTTTTACTTAATCCCAGGGCTTCTGAAGCAAATTTACGATCAAAAGCCCGGATCAAGTTTTTAGAATGTTTTAAGCCTGGTGTGTCAGACCAAATTTTAAGTGATTTATTGTGATGAAGAGTTTCAAGGGTCAATCGGGCTAGGCTTCTTGAAATTCCACAAAATGGCTCAGGTCCAAATTGTGTGCATTTTGAGCCCCCGTGCAACTTTGTCGGCAAATTCGTTGCCTACAATACCCGCGTGACCCGCAACCCATCGTAAGACGACCCTGTTGTTACATCCTAGGGCGTTTAAACGGTTCACGCAGTCTCCAACTAGCTTCGAGTTCACTAAGTTTGACTCCAGCACTAGCAGTGCTGCTTGACTATCAGAGTTTACATGAATTATATGGTTACGTAGTGTTTTTGCAGATTGATTTCCGCACACTGAATTATGACGAAAATTTCTGCCTGGAAGATAGAGATGAATCTATCCAAATTCATACTAAGTTTGAAATTGGGGCGTTCCCCGTAAATTCCAAAGCCTACGTCGAAGCACATTTTAGAACCATCGGTAAACCGAATGAGGCTACAGACCTCACAGATAACCTGGTCATTCAGCCAGTTTTCTCTGGAGGGTAATTCCACTATATACTTTTTATCAAAAGTGTGTAGTGGACGCATAATATCGGAGATCCTGCATAAGACCGGTGTTTCCTTAATTGAGTCGAGCATGGATTTCAATCTGTAGGAGAGCAAGCTCGGACCGCCCTGGGCGTTAATCCTATACAAACTAACCTTCACCTCCTTGTTTAGATATAGATCAAGGGCCGTTAGGCATAGAAGTGCATTAAGAGCCACTCCAGGCGATGATCACATAGCTCAAGTTGCCATTAACCTCTCAACCCACTAGCGGTCTCATGAGACCGCGGCCATATTCCGTCAAATCTCTAGCGGTCTCATGAGGTCGCACCCACCCACAGTACTTTAACCCATAAAATCTTATATATAGAGACTACTTTCTATGAAGAAGTTTGGCATTATATAATCAATATAAAATACTCTATCCTCTAGTGCAGCGGTACTCTAAGTTTGTTCCGCGGAACCCTAGGGTTCATCAAAACACCTCTCTCTGGTCACTAGTCGAACGTTTTGACTCCGCCCGCCGCGCGTATACTTGTGAACGCGCAGTCCCTTTGATAAAAGCCGCCTCTGAATTAGACGCTATAGTGGTGAACAATCGACTTTCGGCTCTATCTTAAAAAACATTAAGTCGAGATTGTTTACAACGCATTTTTTTGTATTTCTATTTTTATTTCCGCTTTTTGTTTATCAAAGGCGCCGACTCGAGTGTTTTTAGAATGTTCGAGTTCGAGTCTAGGACTAAGTATAAAAGCGGTGATCGCGCGTCGCGCCTCGTGGTCTGCGCCCTCTTTTCCCAAAAGAGGGTCGCTCATGATAAGGCACAATACAGCTTAATCAGCCGGCTGCCTGTCCCCAAAGGCGGTTTTTAGAGGGTATCACTTAGGGTCCCCGGTAGGACAGTGAGCCCCTCATAACCACGATAGACCGGCTATCGTGGTATGCGTAATGCATTTTCCGCCTCCCTACGTATAGGGTAGCCCTTTAATTGCTTCGGGCGCAAAAAAAAAACGTCAGTCAGTTGACGATTAGCGTTCGGAGCGATAAGTTCCTACCTACCTACTTACAAGCTGGCTAGCGAATTGCGGAGTTTAAACGTGATATGAAAGTAGTGTTCATTGTTCTACTGCCTGCTGTATTCTGATTGTATCAGTTTTGTACATTTCTTCTTTGGAATAAACTTTTTCTCATAAACGCAGTAACGATTGTGCATTATTTTGACCCCACCATCCTGATGTGTAACATTATTAATAAAGAAGAATGGAACGTTGGCTTAAAGGCGTTAAGGGGATATAGTAAGTCAGCTCAAATTCTAATTTCGTCCCCACACGTATAATATGTACCGACATGTTTGTAATCACTAATACTGTAAGTAGAAAAGAACTAATCAATTATCATAACTTCTTAACCCAAGCCAGTCTTCTTATTTATTACTTATTTCCCATTTTAATTTTACGTTCTGTTGCGTAATGTAAGTATATTCTGATCGTAAGCGACACAACCTCCCCCTTCAAAGGCCGAAGCGAAGTGACCGGGCGGCAGGAGTCACACTTCAAGAGTCCGATAGTTTAGGTAATTTCTTTTTTACAGTGAAAATAATGGTATTTAAAAAAAAGTAAATAACATAAGCATTGCTTTATAGTTAGTTCAGTTAGTATGCAAAGTTTCATGATCTTATTTAAAGTATTTTATGAATAACAGCGGTTTATTGTTTATTTTGGAGGTAACTTTGGATTTTTTTCTATCGAGAAAATTTTACGAAATCGTATTTTCGTCTAACATAATCCTTAACATTAATCCTCAACTTTACCATATATTTATTTCAAAATTAATGCTGTAATATTTTCGGCATAACGAAGGATCTTGCTAAGCCATTTGAAATTATATTTCCCCTTAAACGTGTTGCAATAACATCTTCTAATGACGCTGAATGTACAAAAGCAGTACGCGCGGAGAATATAGCAATTACCGATCCAGACGATGATGCCACGACGTCAAGCTCCACGGTTTCAAAGACGAAAAAAAGGAAGTATGATGAATCATATATCAGTTTCGGATTTGTTGATTCCAACGGCTCACCTCTCTGCATGTTATGTAGTAAACTGCTTCCTAATAGTTCCATGGCAGCTGCCAAATTGCGCAGACATTTAGAAACTATACACCCCGAGTCTAAAGACAAGGATAAAGAATTTTTTGTTAGTAAAAAAGAACAGAAGTCAAAAAAATATGATGCATGTAACACAAACTATCAACGAAAAGGCCACGGAGTCATCATATTTAGTTAGCTATCGTATTGCAAAAGCAGGTGAAGCGCACACTATCGCTGAGAATTTAATAAAGCCATGTGTGTTAGACATAACAAAATGTATGCTCGATGAAAAATGTGCAAAGCATCTTTCTACTGTACCGCTATCAAACGATACTGTTTCACGGCGAATCCATGATCTGGCAAGCTACGTCAAACAAGAACTAGTTGCACGTCTACAAAAAACACGATTCGCCTTGCAAATGGATGAGTCAACTGATGTCAATGGTCTGGCAATCTTGCTGGTTATCGTGATATATCCATATGAACGTTCTTTTTAAGAAGACATGCTTATGTGTTTACCGCTGCCCACAAACACTACCGGGGAAGAAATTTTTAATAAAATAAACATATTTTTTAAGGAAAATAATCTTAGTTGGAACGATTGCATTGACATTTGTACGGATGGGGCCAAGGCGATGACAGGTAAAACAGCAGGAGCAGTATCAGGAATAAAAAATAAAGCGCCTAATTGTAGTTCCAGCCATTGTATTCCGCGATGAAGCAAATGCCGTCAAATCTAAAATTAGTTAGGATGAAGCGGTAATAATAATTAATTTTATCAAATCACGACCACTACAATCCCGATTGTTCTCATTATTGTGTAAAGATTATGGCAGCAAACATAAAACACTGCTGCTCCATACAGAAGTGCGATGGCTGTCTCGGGGTAAAACTTTAACAAGGCTATTTGAACTTAGAGCCAAGTTACAAATGTTTCTTTCAGCAGATACAATTTCCTTTAATTTGAAAGACCGTTTGTATGATAAAACTTGGTTATTCCGACTGTCTTTGCTATCTTTCAAAAATGAACGAATTGAATTTATCATTGCAAGGTAAACCGACAACAGTGTTCCAGGCCTATAACAAAATAACTGCCTTCAAAAGAAAATTAGATTTTTGGATTATTTGCGTTAGTTAGAGAGAAATAGAAAGCTTTACGTCACTCAGTGAGTTTGTTAGCGATAACGACTCAGAAATGTTACAAGATGATGTGTTTGAAGAATTGATCCAATATCTCACCTCGATGCGCGCATCTTTTAAAAAATATATAAGATTTTTTTCATTTTTAATATCTTCTATTGTTGTACTTGCTATGTGGTAAAGTAAGTAATAATTAGTAACTGTTACGTTGTACTTTTATTATGCTTATATAATAAAGAATACACTTTTAAAAACTATTGTTTTATTTGTAGGGTTCCGTCTAGTATTTTGCTTGTCAAAAGGGTTCGGTGACCAAAAAAGTTTGAGAACCGCTGCTCTAGTGAAATAAAAAAACTGTTATACTATGAATATTTATTTATAATATCGTTTATTTCGTACCCCATTTTCGCGTGAATGTTATTGTATTGATTTTCGGATTTTTCTAGTGTTTTATTATAAAATTGTAATGAAAGTTTTTGTGTGAATATAATTTATCTTTTTACGTAAATAATTTCGAGTAATATATATTGAAATAAAAGTGATTTTCACGAAGCCGCCATTCGCTTGGTTTTTTCTTTTTGTTATCAAAATACAATAAAATCTTTTTGTAATGAAGTAAAACCGGACTTTTGTTAAGACCACAAGATAGAGAATTTTGTATAGATTTTTTAATGCTAAACTTTTTCATAGAAAAGTAGTCTCTAAATATAAGTTTTAATAATTTTAAGTGCTGTGGGTGGGTGCGGTCTAATGCGACCGCTCGGGATTTGCGGAGCGCATGCGACTGCATGGGATTTTTATGGCGCTTGAAGGGTTAAGCATCTAGTCCTTTGTAGACTATTTAGTCTGTCCGCAGTCGACTTTTGGTTGGCTTTGTTACACCAGACAATAGAGGCGTAGGTGAGAATCGGCCTCACTATGCTGCTGTACAGCCATAGGACCATACTGTGACGCAAGCCCAAGTTGTTCTCGACTAAACGACTGCACGTACCTAAAGCAATTTTCGCCTTATGGCAGACGTTGCTAAGGTGAGAGTTTCACGTTAGTTTTTGGTCGATTGTTACGCCCAAGTACCTAAGTTCCGTGGAAAATGGTACTTCTTTACCATTAAATTTTGGTGGGACTAATTTTTCCAACCGTCTCTTTTTGGTAAAGGGTATTATAACAGTTTTATCAGCATTAACTGATAAACTGCTATCCATACACCAGTTATTTATGGTGTTTAGGGCTCTTTGAATTATTGACGATAAAGTACTTTGGCAAAAGCCCCTCGCAATGATCACAAGGTCATCAGCATAACCCAGTGTGTCAATGCGTAGGTCTGCCATTTTGTACAATAGTTGGTCAACCGCAAGAGTCCAAAGAAGGGGTGACAAAACACCTCCTTGTGGGCAGCCTCTTGTTGTTGCAACATCAATCGAAGCTTGAAACAGCGTTATTTTTGCCTTTCTGTTTAAGAGCATCGACTTCACCCATCTGATGGTTGTGGGGTCAACATTTTTAGATGTCTGGCCCCCAATCAGCATTGATGTGGGACTACTGTCGAAGGCGCCCTCAATATCTAGAAAGGCACAAAGAGCTATTTCTTTATCCTCCAGTGCTTTTTCGACCCTGTCAATGACACTGATTAGGTCTGTTTTCGTAGATTTGCCTCTGCGGTAAGCAAGCTGGTTGTTTTGTATGGGCCTCGTAGCTAGAGCTACATTCCTTATATATCTATCTATAACCTTTTCCAATGTCTTAAGGAGAAATGAAGATAGGCTTATAGATCTAAAGGATTTTGGTAAAGCGTAGGCCTTTCTACCAGCTTTAGGTATAAATAGAACCTTGACAATTGTCCATCGTTCTGGAATATATCCCCAGGCAAAACTCGCTCTAAAGGTTTTCACCAGATAGGGAAGAAGGATGTCGATACCCCTCTGCAGTTGGATGGGAATCATTCCATCTTTCCCGCTTGTTTTAAATGGTTTAAAGAAGTTAACAGCCCACTGCACCAGCTTTGGCTTTATTATCTTTGCAGCCCTACACCAGTCCTCATTACATGGCCTTCGTAGGGCTCTGAAAGAATTTAAGGCTGAAGTCTTGTGTGACCCTGGGCAATGGGTTGACGCTAGTAACTCCAACCCCTTCTCGCCGTCCCTACGGTGGAGGATTCTCCAGAGCTCGGTATGGAACCCTTCGTTTTGTGCCCTCAACAGCACAGCCGCCTCCTTCGGAGAGTCAGCTTCGCTGCGGGGCAAGTATGTAATGCCCAGCTGAAGCTTAGGCAATTTGCCCTCGGATATTATCGAGAGCTCTGTCTTCGGCCAGGGTTTCATTTTTCCGATCTCACCCGCAATCCAGTCCTGGCTTGCCTTATTCAGGCACGTTACTAGAATCCAACCCGGCTTGTGAGTGAAACCCGAAAATTTTGGTCCCATTCCCGGCTGCACCCCACGGGCTGTCTTAGCAATGGCCCGTGTTAGTGCCCGGTGGACCAGCCGCATCCGCTCCACACTCATAGAATTCGAATTGCGGATTCCTAAAAGCGTGGAGCCAGCTACGGCACTGCAGCTGAGCTTCTTCTCCCCCGTTGCTAGCTTCACAGACTTTCTTGGCTGGTCTTTGGGGGACTCTTCCTCAGACCGACTGCATTTTTGTGACTTCGGAACTGGGGAAGGTTTGGGCAGAAGAATTTCATCCCAGGGCTTCTGGCAGAGAGAGAGGGCCTCTTCGGCTCCTATCTCAGCTGCTATCAGCCGTCGGTACCTCTTCCTTGCTGCCCCACTAAGCTTATAAGGCCTAGCGAACTTTTTCTTTTCCCCTCCCTCGTTCGTTTCCGATTGTGGTTCGGCTGCAGTCGTGCCCTCCACTTCACGGCTCATCCTAGGTTGGGGCGTAGTGTTGCAGGATATTGGTGAGCTAAAAGAGCCTCTTCCAAACCTACAGATAGTTCCATTAGACGAGATTTTTCGTTAATCTTTTCAAAATGTCGCTTCTCGTCCATTTTGGTCCCTTGGTTAGCTAGGGAAATATTCGGTTACCCCCGGCAGAGCCCCGCATGCCGAGGGAAGGGCTTAAATACTACCCGAATCGCCCTGGTTTACGGTAGGCACCGTTTGTGACTGGACTCCCTCCAGCCACGCATCCATCGGCGCGATACGCTTGACACCTTGGATTGGGTTAGGATGGGAATAAAGGGGGTGGGATAAAAGACAAGAAGAAGAGGATCGTATGAGTGTTTCAGTTCTGTCTGTTTCCTATTGAACTAGACCAAATTACAGGCAGCAGCCACGTGAAGGAAGAACTCCTCAGACTTGCCCTGGCGATCAACACGACCTGCGCTCTCCCCCAGAGCCATCCGCCAGACTGCCCGCCGGACAGGACAGCGTAATAGGTGTCAATCTAGTCCTACTGATAATATCAAAAAGTTAGGAGTAGACTAACTCCCGCCCAAATAAATTCAATATTATTATCTCAGGTAATAGGTATAGGTATATATTGTATTTTATTGTGTGGTAGTTTCTTTAATAATATGGCTGTAGAAATTTTATGCGTTAACGGGCAATGGTATCACGTACCAATTATTGTGACGGAACTTGCTTATTCCGAGCCATAGCATACGTATTATATGATACTCAAGTTATGACTCGGGAGAGGAGATACGTGATAAAATAGTAGACCACGTGATGGAGTATTAGGATAAGTTTTCCATTATGTCCCACGACAGAGAAGGGAATAAATTTAACACTTCTGATGTATACTATGCCGAAATGTCCCAACCTTATAGATATGGTTGTTTATGCGACACTAGACAGGCAATTTAGAACGTATTTAATTACTACGTAATAAAAGGTAAGGAATTAGTTGGCACGGTGAATATACCACGCAGTTGAATTTTCATTTAAGTTACTGTTTTTAGACAAATACGAAATGACGTTACAGTATAATAATTCTATGCATACATATCTGAAATAAACTTTAAATCACGTCGACAAAGCCGTGTCACTCGTGTTATTACAAAATGCGCACAAACAAAATCAGTGTTGTTACAAAACAAAGTCTTTTCTACACAACTATACTGCACTAAAATATTAAATCAAGGCGTTTCCATATACTCCTTGTTATGATTTTCAAAGACAACAGTCGTGGGAATATCGACAGTTGGGGGGTAGCACGCGATTTCATTCAATGAGCTGCTCATCCATAATTTAGATTCTGGGAACTTTATTTCCATAAGAGAACCCAGTTTCTCAACGGTTAGAATACATGATTATAGAGTAGCGGTGTCATAAGTTTGATTTTTTTTATATAAGGGTGACAAACGAGTATAGAGTTCACCTGATGATAGGTTATAGCCAATATAACCCTCTATCCT